CGGGAATTTTGGGAAATTCCGGAATCCCCAAAAATTCGGGAATTCCGGCGAGGCCGAAATTCCACCCCAAAACCCCCAAATTCCACCCCAAAATCCAAAATTCCACCCAAAAATCCCAAAATTTCACCCAAAACCTCCAAAAATTCCACCCTGATCTTCACCCTGAAGTTCTCCAGAAGGTTCCTCAAGCTCAAATTTGACCAAAACCCCCAAAATTTGACCAAAAATTCCCAAAATTCGACCAAAACCCCAAAATTTCCACCCAAAATCCCAAATTCCATCCAGGTGACCCCAAAATTTGACCCAAAATCCCAAAATTCCACCCGAAATCCAAAAATTCCACCCTGATCTTCATCCTGAGGTTCTCCAGCAGGTTCCTCAAGCCCAAATTTGACCAAAAATTCCCAAAATTTGACCAAAATTCCAAAATTTCCACCCAAAATCCACCCTGGTCTTCAACCTGAGGTTCTCCAGAAGGTTCCTCACCATCCTGAAGTTCTCCAGAAGGTTCCTCGAGCCCAAATTCCACCCAAAACCACCCAAAATCCACCCAGGACCACCCAAAATCCACCCTGGTCTTCACCCTGAAGTTCTCCAGAAGGTTCCTCACCACCCTGAGGTTCTCCAGAAGGTTCCTCAAGCCCAAATTCCACCAAAAACCCCCAAAAATTTCCACCCAAAATCCACCCAGGACCACCCAAAATCCACCCAGGTCTTCACCCTGAAGTTCTCCAGAAGGTTCCTCAAGCCCAAATTCCACCAAAACCCCCCAAAATTCTGTCCAGGACCACCCGAAATCCCACCAGGACCACCCAAAATCCACCCTGGTCTTCAACCTGAAGTTCTCCAGAAGGTTCCTCACCACCCTGAAGTTCTCCAGAAGGTTCCTCGAGCCCAAATTCCACCCAGGACCACCCAAAATCCCACCAGGACCACCCAAAATCCACCCAAAATCCACCCTGGTCTNACCACCCAAAATCCCACCAGGACCACCCAAAATCCACCCAAAATCCACCCTGGTCTTCACCCTGGTCTTCACCCTGAAGTTCTCCAGAAGATTCCTCACCATCCTGAGGTTCTCCAGAAGGTTCCTCAAGCCCAAATTCCACCCAAAATCCCACCAGGACCACCCAAAATCCACCCTGGTCTTCACCCTGAAGTTCTCTAGAAGGTTCCTCACCATCCTGAAGTTCTCCAGAAGGTTCCTCGAGCCCAAATTCCACCCAAAATCCCACCAGGACCACCCGAAACCCCAGCAGGACCACCCAGCCCCCAGCCGGGTGGACATCCCAGCGCAGCGTGGAGCTCCAGGTCCTCACCGCCGGTCTGGGCGTCGAAGCGCTTGGTGGCGATGGCGTCGATCTCGTCGATGAAGATGATGGCGGGCGCGTTCTCCTTGGCCAGGCGGAAGACGTCGCGGACCATGCGCGGGCCCTCGCCCAGGTACTTCTGCACGAACTCCGAGCCCACCACGCGGATGAAGGCGGCTGGAGGACAACCAGGAGGAGGTCGGGGGATCTCCAGGAAGGTCAGCGGGAAGGCGTGGAGACCTCCAGGAACTCATGGAGACCACCAAGAAGCCATGGAGACCTCCAGGAACCCAAAACACCTCCAGAAATCCCATCAGGAACCCATGGAGACCACCAGGAACCCATGGAGACCACCAAAAATCCCACCAGGAACCCGTGGAGACCACCAGGAACCCAAAACATCTCCAGAAATCCCATCAGGAACCCATGGAGACCACCAGGAACCCATGGAGACCACCAAAAATCCAAAATGTGGCCAAAAATCCCACCAGGAACCCATGGAGACCACCAGGAACCCAAAACATCTCCAGAAGTCCCACCGGGAAGCCATGGAGACCACCAGGAAGCCATGGAGACCACCAGGAACCCAAAACATCTCCAGAAATCCCACCAGGAACCCATGGAGACCACCAGGAACCCATGGAGACCACCAGGAACCCAAAACATCTCCAGAAATCCCAAAAATCCCACCACAAACCCATGGAGACCATCAGGAGTCCATGGAGAACATCAGGAACCCATGGAGACCACCAGAATTCCCAAAAATCCCACCAGGAACCCATGGAAACCACCAGGAACCCATGGAGATCACGAGGAACCCAAAACATCTCCATAAATCCTACCAGGAACCCATGGAGACCACCAGGAACCCATGGAGACCACCAAGAACCCATGGAGGACATCAGGAAACCATGGAGACCACCAAGAACCCATGGAGACCCATGGAGACCACCAAAAATCCATGGAGACCACCAGGAACGCAAAACATCTCCAGAAATCCCACCAGGAACCCATGGAGACCACCAAAAATCCATGGAGACCACCAGGAACCCATGGAGACCATCAGAAACCCATGGAGACCCCAGGAACCCCTGGAGAACTCCAGGAACCCAAAACATCTCCAGAATTCCCAAAAATCCCACCAGGAACCCATCAGGAACCCACCAACAACCTTCTCAAACCCCCCTGAGATGTCTCCAAACCCTCTGAGATGCCTCCAAACCCTCCTGAGATGTCTCCAAACCCTCTGAGATGTCTCCAAACCCCTCTGAGATGCCTCCAACCCCTCTGAGATGTCTCCAAACCCCTCTGAGATGCCTCCAAACCCCTCTGAGATGCCTCCAAACCCCCCTGAGATGTCTCCAAACCCCCCTGAGATGTCTCCAAACCCTCTGAGATGCCTCCAAACCCCTCTGAGATGCCTCCAAACCCCCCCAAGATGTCTTCAAACCCCTCTGAGATGCCTCCAAACCCTCTGAGATGTCTCCAAACCCCTCTGAGATGTCCCCAGCCCCAGGAGATGCCTCCAAACCCCTCTGAGATGCCCCCAAACCC